CCCAGGGTGCCAAATGGCCTCCCTCTGGTTCTTTGGCTTCGAAGGCTGCCCACCTTCCCTCCTTTGGCCACGCCCCAGACCACGCCTCTCTAAAGATAGCTAGACTCAGGCTGGGCCTCCACGGAGCCCCTCCGCGGGCTCTGAAATTACAGCCCTGGTGGCCCGGACAGGAGAGACGCCGTATGATTATGTCCTCAGGGGAAGGTCAAAAAAAGCTCCTGGCATGGAGAGTGCCAGCTCTCACCAGCCACGCCTCGGCCATCCGGCACTGGGAAGCTTCCAGATAGCGGAGGCTTGGCTGCTCAGCACCAGCTTAGCTATCTCCAGGGCATGTTGTTGGCACAAGCCTTGGCTGTAACTGTCCACCCCTGCACTCAGAGGGTCCCCCTGAGCGTTGGTTTCATACCACTTCGGGGCTCCAGGGTATCACTCAAGAAACCCTCAAAGGGTAGGGGCTGCCCTCTGGGGTCTGAGGTTCTGGTCCTCACCCTGCCCCTGCCCAGCCCTGAGCATGGACAAAGCCAGCAGACTTGGAGTGAGACCCATGCAAGGCTATGAATGTGGAACCGCTCTGGGCAAGACTGCTTGCTCAGGAAGTAACAATGTGCATGTGACATGTCCTTGGCTGGAATGTAATGTGTCTTGGAGGCTTCAGCATAAGGGGGCACCCATAGGAAAGACCCCTTGCTCACTCTGGAGGGCAGCTGAAAGGTAGCCTTGGGCACCGCCTCCGCCCTCTGGAAGTCCTCCCCACCTCTGGAGGCACCCTCCTGCTTCTGGAGGCATTGCCTTGCTTGGGGTCCTGCAGCACGAATGCCCCATGGGATGGGACACTGCCTGTCTGACCCTCACAGCGACTTTCCCCTCTGTCCTATCCCAAGGACAGCTGGGGGAGGGGGGGCTTGGGAGTCCTGTGGACCCTTGTGTTTCCCACTCATGCGCTAGTGCCAGGGCATGAACAGCTGTAAGTTGGCTGTGGGGGTCGAGCTTCAGCTGACACTGGGTCCTTCTCCCCCACAGGCTGTGGGAATGGCTGGTGGCTTAGATCCCCTGTCTGGGGAGGGTTCCCTGAAATCACAACTCCCCTGGGAGCTGCTGGCCAGCCCTGCCTCCCCACTTCCTTGGTCCTCTCTCCCCGCAGACATGCTCTTGCAGTGCCCTCTCGTCCCGTGCCTCCCCCACCAGCTATCTTCCAGAGTCTGCCCTGAGCTTTCCCCACAGTATGGCCGGTATGCCCAGGAAGGGGTAGGTGCCAGGGCACGACAGCTTTCCCTTGAGGCCTGAGCAGGCCACTCGTGGCTGCCCTCACCACGCATCTGAGGGGGTCACGCTCCTTCTCGGGGCAAGAGGGTCGAGTTCTTGGCTACATCGGGCAGGGATGAGGCTAGTGCTGGCAGGACCTCCTAACCCGGCACAGCCCTTTGGGGAAAGTGTACCAGCTGGGGCCTTGGGAGCCTGTCCAGTGGAGTCCCAGAGTCACATATAGGCCATGCTGGAAGGGGCTGTGCTCTGCCTTCCCTGCCCCTACACCCTGTTGCTGGTTCCTGGGGAGCGAAGACAGCTGTGCGTTGGCCTCACCCCCAGCAGCCTCAGGAAATGCCTGCTCTTCCTTCCTGTCTTGCCCCCATGCCTACCCTCCCCCTGCCTCCTCCCAGCCCTGAGAGGCCAGAAGGGCAGGAGGCCACCCGCTCTGCTGTGCTAGCCAGTGAGGACACACTGTTCCCAGCACGTTTCAGAGGGAGCCTGCGTTGTTGCTGCACTGCGGAGAGCTGAGGCCTGGAGAGGGGGGAGGGGAGGGAGAGGCCCAAGGACGAGGTGCTGCCTGGCTGGTCTGGGAGTGGCCCCCAAATTAGAGGGCCAGGCAGAGTGACTCAGTGGGCCCTGGGCCGGGTGTACAGTCATGGCTTATTGCAGACTGCAAACCACAGACACGAGAACCTTCCAGGCACAAGAACCGTATTTATGGAAGTATTGCACCAGAAACATCCCCCAGCTTCGGGCTAGAGCTCCAAGGTGCATAATGTGCATCCCTCTACGCAGGGTGTCGTCCCATCGCCAACCCAAGCACTCTCTGGGAAAGTGCCTGACTGAGGTCTCAGGGTGAGGTCTGTGTGAGGCAGATAGGCTCTTCTGCCACCCGTGCAACGTCCCTCTTCCTCCAGGTTACCTCCTCCAGGCAGCCTTCCTGAGCCTCTGATACCGTGCATGGCCCTGGGGAGGCAGGAAATAAAAGCGCCCCAGACTCCCCCTCTCATGGCACACAGAGCCCAGCCCCGGGACACCCCAGAGTAGGGGACAATGGTGGCCTAGTCTCTGGCTCCACTGCCTTGAGGCTTTCCCCAGCAAAACCCTGGCCATTATATTCAGGGCTATGTCACCCCCACTGGGACTCCTAGAGGCCGAGGCCTTGAATGACAACTTCTGGGGTCCCAGCCTCCAAGCCGTGCAGGATGAGGGTGGCTGGATGAACTAGGCCAGGTGGCACCACCCTCAATAAGGGATTCAGTGACCGCTCCCTGGGCAGCGGCGCACCTTACGCGGCTGTTCTCCTTTCTCTTATTGAGATTGACTTGGCGCACCCCATAATTCACTCATTGAACATGTACGAGGCGATGGTTTTATTTCGTGTATTCATAGTACAGTCAACTGTAGAACATGTCATCACCTCAAAAGAAAACTCACACCTTTAGGTCTCCTGCTCCATCCCCTGCTCCCACCATCTGCTTCTGTCTCTCTAGATGAGCTTTACACTGGGCACTCCAAGCCCACGGCTGCAGACGCTCTGAGGCTGCCCGCGACTGGCTGCTCTCACGAGTGGAACATTTCCCTGCATGCTTTGGACCTTGCTCTCCACCCACGCTGTGAGGCAGCCCTCACTGATGTGCTCTGGTCAACCGACATTTTTCTCCATGAATGAGCTGACATCTGGGTCCAGATCTAGTGGAGGTGCACAGAGGGAGGGGAGACAGAGAAGACAAGGTGGCCATGAGCTAGACGCTGAAGCTCAGTCTCCTGACGTCATTCTTTCTGGTGCCTGATATGTTCGAATATGTCGACAGTAAAAGGTGAAACACACAAGTCAATGGACAAGCCATGCCCTCTGGCTGGAAGGGCATAGGTGCCCTTCAATCCTCTTGTCCCAAGCACCAAATCAGGAGGGGATCGAGCCCCCAGCCCGGCCCTTGATGTCTCCCTTTCTCTTCTCCCTGGTGCAGCCTGGAAGCTTCTTGCAAGCAGGACCACACCATGTGTCCCAGGTCCTGGCCAGGCCCTGAGCTGCTGTGGGCGCACAGGAAGGGAGTCTGTGTCCAGCCACGTCCCCAGGTGGGGCCCTCATGGGTGCATCTATGCTGTCCTGGGACCTCCTGGACCCCACTCCCCGGCTGAGTGACGGCCCTGCCTCTCTCCAGCCATTCCTCGTCTCTACATGTTTGAGCTCTTTGTCTCCATATGCAATTTTGTTTTTCTTTCTTTCCTTTTTCTTTTCTTTCCTTTTTGTTTTTGTTTTTGTTTTTTGAGACAGGATCTTGCTCTTTTGTCCAGCACCCAGGCTGGAGTACAGTAGTGCGATCATAGCTCACTGCAGCTTCGAACACCTGGGCTCAAGCGATCCTCTTGCCTCAGCCTTCTGAGTAGCTGGGACTACAGGCATGCACCACCACACTCAACTAATTTTTAAAAAACGATTTAATAGAGATGGGGGTCTCATTATGTTGCCCAGGCTGGTCTTGAACTCCTGACCTCAAGCTTTCCTCCCCCCTTTGCCTCCTGAAGTGCTGGGATGACAGGCATGAGCCGCCGTGCCAGGCTGATATGCAGTCTTCTCTTTCCGTCTTCCCACCTCTCGGTCCCCAGTTCTCCTTTTGCAGATCTTGGAGTCACTCCCTACTTTGAATCCCCTCTAGTCTAAAACCTCACCTTTGTCTCTCGGAAGCCGCTCTTGCTGGAAAAGAATGGGGCACCATGGGACAGGAAAGAGGTGGTGTGCAAAGGACCGGGACTCTAGACGCAGACAGCACTGGACTCACTTGGGCCTTCAGGAAGTGGCTGGGGCTTGGCAGACTGATCCAGTTATCCCCCATAAGTGACCATCGCAGGGTTTGGCCCAGAGGAAGTGCCCACCCACAGAGTAGTTATCATGTCCTAGGGGACCTGTGAAGATTGAGCAAGAAGGATGACTCGCTGGGTGCTTTTCTGAATCAGCTCCTCCAAGGCCCAGAATCAGGGAGCCTTCCTGCTAGTCTGGCCGGGTCCTGTCCTGCTGTCACAGAGACACAGCCAGGTCCTCTTTTTTAGGGGAAGAAAGGCTGCGGTGGGAGGGTGGGCACAGAGCACCTGGGAACCTAGATGAAGCCCTTTCAGTTCCCCTCGTTAGCTACCTCTCTGAACCAGGAGAAACTACCCCCTGCTTAGGACAGGCGCTGCAGGGTCCAGGCGGCTCAGAACAGAATTCCAGGGGCCACTCATGGGCCTGGCAACCCAAGGCCGCCTCCCCCTGGTCTTCCTTCCATCTCTTTCCTCCTCTGCCTGGTGGCACGCCAGCCAGCGCCTCAGTGTCCCCATCTGGGCAGTGGAAAGTTTGACTCTCTGAGGCCGTGCCTGTCCAGAGACGCCAAGGGTCCTTGTGTGAGGGAGTGTGAGTGTGTGTCCGTCTGCAGCGTGCCCGAGGCGGGGGCCAGGGTGGGGGGTGCGAGGGGGAG